GGACTTACACTGGCTAACTCTTTTGTAGGTCTTGTGCATGCACTCATAGCTGTCTGGAACTTCATGAATGCATTCAGTTTTATTTTTATAGGACACAAGTCAGAAGTAATTATTCAATATGTCACATCTATTTAAATTTAAATCCACATATCTGAAGAGAAAACATATAACATAGAGAGTGACCTCAGGATTCAAAAACACCCCAGGTGGCCAGAAGAAGCCTCAGTCATTTTACAGAAGAGGCAGCTTAGAACCAGGAAGAGAGAATAAAGAGCCCATGAAGGTGAACATTTAGCCTGTTTAGTTTGCTGTCTATTGTGCTTATTAGAAAAATAGATAGCAGGCAGGCAGCAATCTGCAAATACTTGATGGATGGCTACGTGGTTTGTCCTAGCCTTGTACTCTTTTCATTTTTATGTCAGAAGAAAATTCCTGGAAGATTTTCAGCATTTTATTTTGAAAAATGAAACATAGTAAAATGATTTTAAACTGGCTTATTACTGGAGTGGACTATAGGAACAGATGTGTTAAAACATGCCAGGTTCAGAGGCTCTTCCTGTGGAGAAAGATCTGGAAACTTTCACAAAGACAAAGCACCTAGATAGTAAGAAGGTGGAAGATGTTAACACATTTTTAATAAATACTCACAGCCAGACTCCACCCTTAAATATAAACGGCCTAAAAAGTTAACAGGCCTCATTCAAGAAGAATGGTGTGAAACTCAGAAAAGTAAAGTGGTCTTTGTCTGCAAAACCAAGCTCAATGCCAGCGCTTGCCTGAGGGTGGAGCTAAGGCTCAGAAAAATTGTACACCCCCCTACCAGGTCCCTACTCTGTAGCTATAAAGTATGTAATCTGTGTGGTTCCCTCATTCCATCTCAACAAATGACCGACTTTAAGGTCCCTGTAGACCACTGGCTACTGTGAAGACTCCATATATTGCCTTTCATAGTTTGAATCTCTGACCTTCAGTTATTTTCCCTTTGACTTTCTTTATACAGATGAAAGAGAGAGAGAAACTGGAACCAAAGGACAATTATGTCGTGATGATTTGTCATGAATTTCACACCAGTGTCTCCCAGGAATAAGGAACAAATCCACATAAGTGAAGACATAGATCAACTTCAGAACTCAAGTGAAAAACTAAACACGAAACACTATCTCTTAGAACACACAGCTGCAGAAGTGTGGCATCCTGAACAATTTGTTATGAAGGAGTTAAAAATATCAGAGCCTGCCCTATTCCCTATCCTCGGAACCCACACTTGATTCTCCCCTTTCTTAGCTTGCTGCAAATTCCCCTCATCAGGTAA